AGAGGCCAATCCATTGCAGTGGTGGAGTTTGCATGCTGAAGAGCTATTTCATCTTGCTCAGAAGTTTCTCTGCATTCCTGCAACGTCCAAATAAACTGCACAACCCTCTAAACCTGAGACAACGTGGTTCATTAACCTTTGAAAGGTCACTGGAGCGTTTTGTAACCTGAAACTCGTAACAGAATAGGAATAAAACCCTGAAGTAGTAATACATTTATTTCCTGTGCGTGAGATGTCAGAGGCACCTCCCAGACTTTGCGAACATACTTAGCAGAGCCGACTTGATTCATGCAGTCCTCCATCCAAGGAAGTGGAAGAGCATCAGGTTTTGTGATTTTGTTCATTTTACGGTAGTCCGTACAAAACAGAAATGTTCCACCCAATTTTCTCACTAGCAGGCACGGAAATACCCAACTAGAACATGAAGGCACCTCAATGTCATTCTCTAACATGTATTGAACCTCAGACTCCAATTATTGACGTTTATCAAAAGGAACACGATAGAATCGCTGGCGTATCGGTGGAGCATCACCCACGTCCACATCATGTTCTATTAAATGAGTTCGCGATGGCACATCCCCAGATAATGATGGGAAATCACATATTAATTGTGACAGTTCTGTGAAACAACAGATTCCCCAGATCTTTAAGGGTTTCAGAATTGTTTAACTGGGGTTGCAGTACAGCGTCGTCGGGGACCTAAACACTTTCCGTATCTACAGAAGATTGGAAAAAAAACAAAAAAACACCCAACACCAAACTGGCCACAACGGCTGGTTTGACAATGATTTGTTCACAGGAGAAATAGGGTTTCAAAAGATTTAGATGACAAACTTGAGTAGATTTCTTTCAATCTGGAGTCTATATTTCATAATTAAGGTCAGATAACAATTGCAGGGTGTCAGGAGAGGGCAACAGTGCCAAGACCTTATCACCTGGACTAATTACTCACTGCTCGGACTGGCAAACAAAAAGCCTATTCATCTTCTTCTGAGATCATGTTAAACAGCAAGCGGACCACGTACCTTATGTCCAAAGACTTAATTCATTTGGACTAAACCCCAAACTGGACTGAATTACTCCCAATCCCAGTTCAATTCAACGCAATATGCACGCAAGAGAGCCTTGATACTTCTGCAAAAATATTAGATGTGAAATTCATTCCTTGGTGACTCTGAATGACTTTAGGGACACCGAAAGTGGGAATGAACTGCCATAGGGCTTTTACCACAGATTGAGTAGTGATTTTACGCATCACATATGGCGGGATAAAGAGTACTCGAACACATTACGGTCAACTGATATTCATTTCCCGACTTCGAAGGAGGTAGTGGACCAATACAATCTATTAAAAGATGCTCAAATGGTTGATCCATCGGAGGTATTGGACACAGTGGAGCCTGTTTTAGGGTCCAGTCAATTGACATGTATGACATGTTTTAATAAACTGTGCTATGTCCTTCTTCAATAACAACCAATAAAAATGCCTCAAAACCCTGTCATATGTTCCCCAGGGTGTCATTTATAAACGTTGCGTACTCACAAAATGGGCATAGAAATATCCGTATGCAATTTTCCACTTGCATATCGGGATTTATAAAAAATAAACTTGCCGTAAATATGTTCGCACCGTACGGACATTCTAGACCATGCGTACAAACTCTTCTCCTGGAGTGAGAAAAGTAATGAAGAAAACAACGATTTTAAACTCTGTTTTCATTTCTGTAATGTAGGAGGCGTGACAACTGAGTTGAGGATCCATCTGTGGGCTTTATTACGAACGTGGTCAGACAGGCAGGGTCAGTATCAGCAAACAGAATCATTCAAGGTAATCCAAAAGGGGGTGTGTGCAAGCTTTATAGTCCTCCTAATATGTGACAGCTGTGAACTGATGATGAGTCCAAGCAAAGGATTATGGGAAATGGAGTCCGGGGTGAATGGCAAAGGTACAGGATGGAGTGCTCTCTAGCGGAGCTCGTGGGCACTCCAGCTGGTGATTGTAACAATTTCGATGTACACATTTATATTAAATATTCCACTCATTAATGGAGATAAGCACTGAAATTACATAAAGCCATTACGCAGAAGTTAAACAAAAATTATATGAATTTAGACATTTGTAGTGGATGCGTTTGATCAGCGAGGAGTGCTATAGGTGCACAAAAATTCATCTTTAAACTAAACTGCAGTTCTCAAATTATGAGAAAATATTTACAGCGAGATTAATGATCAATGATGCACACTTACTTCGATATTACGGCGGACACTTCTGGATTCAGTGGTGGAGCTGTCCATTGTCTGGTTTGAATAGGACCAGTGATAATAGCTTACTGTACAACCACAGCTGCTGTTTTAATATTGTTTAGAACAATTGAAATACTATTTGGCCAGTGGAAAATAATGAGATCAACTCTATTCTAAACACACAAATTATTTATCTGAGAACAGTTTTGTATGCATATTTTGATATATTTATTCTAAAACATAACAAGGATACTAGATGATATTTAGCATTAAAAATTGTGTATGGCACAAATGGCATTTATAGTCCGTAACTCATATTTCCTTAACGTCTTATATCTTTGACGGCGTAAAACATGGTGGATGGGAATATGCATGGAAATGATGTGCAGATGAGGTTATGCATAGAGATGCACGTACGCACGATCTTCCTCTGACTGGGGTTTATAAAGGGATTTTTTTGTGCAGGTTCTGGCGTACAAAATCTAGCTTTTTCAAAAAGAACTTAATACACCAAAAATGTACGAGAAAACATCAAGTATCAACAATAAATAATGTTGGTCAGTAATGATTACGAATGACGAACTTCTGCATTCTGCTCTGTACATAAAAAACCCAGTTTCTACACATGAAATATGAAGCTAATAAACATATGATCACATTAGTATATGATTTGCATGTGATTTTCATGAGATTTGGGCTATTTTCATATCAATAAAGGATGTTTACATGAGAAATTCTAAGATGGTGTAGTGATTAGTTCGGTATGAAAGGCTACAAATAACATATAAGCAACATTAAATGACCAAAACCCACATTATATTGCAATCAGAAGTTATTACAAATTTAAAGTGAGTTTTGAGTAAATTTGTAGTAAAGCCATGGTTAATTTTCTTAAGGGTCGGCATGCTCTCCAATGGGAGTGTACACATATTTTTCCTCATTTTTAAACATATATGCAGTGTATACAGTATATACATGTGTGTATATACACACACATAGACATTTTTTTTACTTGTTACTAAACTATCAGTAACCTGAATTGATATTTAATATATTTAATGTTTTGATAGTGGAAGACAAGTTTTGTGGTCACCGAGTTGCTGACTGCAAGGTAGAACATTGTTAATTTAAAAACAACATCAGTTATGAGTGATACTCCTGCACGAACATACATAAAAGCCATAAAATCTCACACGGGATATGCAGACTGGGACAAGTGCACATCGAATGGGGTTCGTTTAAACGGTCGAATGACTTTTCCAGACAGCAACAAATGAGCGTTTCGGACTTCAGATAGATGAGGAACATCACGGAGACATCCCTCCACCTACTGAGACAGATACTGGAATGGTTTCCGTGTTTCTCCATGATTATATGCATCTAGTTTGCCTTGGAGTCACAAGGAAGCTCCTGGAGATGTGGGCAGCCAGCAGTGGCCAACGTCTGCCGTCCAAGAATGTAACTCAGGTGTCAGAAACACATTTGTATTTCAAATATGTGTCCCTGCAGCACAGAAGCAGTGTTAAGTCGCTGGGGGATATTTGTAGCAATAGCCAACAATACATTGTATGGGTCACAATTATACATTTCTCTTTTATGCCAAAAATCATTAGGATATTAAGTAAAGATCATGTTCCATGAAGATATTTTGTAAATGTCCTACCGTAAATATATCAAAACTTAATGTTTGATTAGTAATATGCATTGCTAAGAACTTCATTTGAACAACTTTAAAGATGATTTTCTCAATATTTAGATTTTTTTGCACCCTCAGATTCCAGATTTTCAAATAGTTGTATCTCAACCAAATATTGTCCGATCCTAACAAACCATACATCAATGGAAAGATTATTTATTCAGCTTTCAGATGATGTATAAATCTCAATTTTGACAAATTGACACTTAAGACTGGTTTTGTGCTCCAGGGTCACAAATCACACTTTGGACAGCTTTATGCGCAATGTGCATGGCTTTATACATCTCAGTGATGATGTAAAAGAACACGGTTAGTGTCTGGACAACATTTCCGGGTTTCTGGACAAAAACTCATGGGGATGAAATGCACATGCATATGACTTTTGGTGATATGTAACTGCATACATAACACTGTGAAAGTGAGAACTCTCAAGCCATGTTTTTTTTTTTTTGTGCAAAGAGGGACATACAGGATAGTATGGTAGTCAGCTCGGGAACTGTTAAAACAATAATTATAATATCGCACACCTCTATGCACACAATCTCAATATATCATATTTCACAGATTTGAATCAGACACACCCTCCCTCACTTACTCACCTCTGGTGAAGCACGCCAAATGTCACAAGTAAACAAGATATAACACAACATTGAGTTGCACTAAATGGCAACTCTGTGTTGGATAGATGTCTAGCGGTGTCAGTCAAACACAGAGCCGCAGGAATTTGATCATCTTTTATTCTTTATCCTTATACAACACAAACAAGTGGCCTTTTTGAGAGAATCACCTTTACATAGTTCTCTCTCCCATGCCATTACAACGCAATAAAACCCTGAGCCACAGATATACACAAAGTGAAAACATGCACAGTTTTCAGTCCTGCAGTACAAGTGTAATACTGCAGATTTTAAGGGTGTCGACTTGCTTCTCTGTAACTCGTATTTTGGGAGTGTTTGTGTGATACTGACATATAGTCTACATTTTATTATGTATGACCTGTAGACTTGCAGACAAACCTGTTTCACACACGCTACTCAAACACAGAAGCAGGAAACTACAGTGTTCAGGGAAAAGAGAAACTGAAGTGTTGTTGAGCTCCTGTGTGTCTCTCTCTCTGTATTCATTAAGTAAAATGACAGAAGCCAGATTTTCTCAGGATGAGTTAGTGTGTGCAGTGTGTCTGGATCTCCCGAAGGAGCCAGTGAGCATCCAGTGTGGACACAGTTACTGTATGAACTGTATTACAGACTTCTGGGATCTCGAGGATCAGAAGAGAGTCTACAGCTGCCCTCAGTGCAGACAGAGCTTCAGTCAGAGACCTGCTTTAGCTAAAAACACCATGCTGGCTGAAGTGGTGGAGAAACTGAAGAAGACCAAACTCTCTGCTGACTGTTACGCTGGAGCTGGAGATGTGCAGTGTGACGTCTGTACTGGAAGAAAATACAAAGCCGTCAGGTCCTGTCTGATGTGTCTGAACTCTTACTGTCAGAATCACCTCGAACAACACGAGAGTTTTTTCAAAGGAAAGAGACACAATTTGACTGAAGCCACTGGACGACTGCAGGAGATGATCTGCCATGAACATGATAAACATCTGGAAATGTACTGTATTACGGACCAACGGTGCATTTGTGTGCTGTGTGCAAAATATGAGCATGAAAACCACAACACTGTATCAGCTGCAGCACAGAGGACGGAAAAACAGGTATGAACTACAGGAACCGTTAACCCAAAAATAAACACGAGTTACTAGGACTCCAAAAGGCTATGAAAGTTTCAAACTTTAAAAAGGACATAAATGTAGTGATAAAGAAATCCATATAACCTGATAAACAGTGAAATGTTATTGACGTGCCACAATATTTGATTTGGGCTCTGTCCCAACACCCACACTTGTCCACTTGTCTAACACAGTGCTGTAAAAATGTTTACATATATCACTTCAAACTTTAAAAGAAACTACTTCTACGTTTCTGTTCCGTAGTGCCTGTGAATGATACAATTTAATTGTATTCTGTCTCGTGCGCGTGCTCTCAAGTGTTTGTATTGGGACAGACCCAGGGTTATTATTCAGAATATCTTTATTTGTGATCTGCAAGAGAAAATCGTACAATTGACATGACATGACCGAGAGTACTTAAATAGTTTAATGTGTGCTCCAGCACCAGCTGAAGGAGACGCGGAGGTCGCTCCAGCAGAGAATCCAGCAGAGAGAGAAAGATCTTCAGCAGCTGAGAGAGGATGTGGAGTCTCGTAAGGTGAGTCTGGAGAAGAAGAGAAGTTTGTCTCAATCTCAGTTCAGACTCACTGAAGCCTGAATCACTGTGTGTCCTAACAGCGCTCTGCACAGACAGCAGTGGAGGAAAGTGAGAGGATCTGTACTGAGCTCATCCGCTCCATTGAGAGGAGCCGCTCTGAGGTCACACAGATGATCAGAGATCAGGAGAAGACGGCAGTGAGTCGAGCTGAAGGACGACTGGAGCGACTGGAGCAGGAGATCAATGATCTGAGGAGGAGAGACGCTGAGCTGGAGCAGCTTTCACACACACAGGATCACATCCAGTTCCTGCAGGTAACAGAGATCTAGAAGAACAGGCTCAGAGTGGACTTGAGCAGATTCTGCTGTGGTTTGGGGTTCGCAGCATGTAGCTTTTTAAGCCGCTTCAATACCTTCTTACGCTTGAGTAAAGTGAAAATTATACCCTTTAGTTATCTCAGACGTACATTAGATCCAAATGCAATATAATAATAGTTTTCTAGACCTTTACATTATTTGGATAATGAGTAAAAAAAAATCTGTTGCATAAAACTGAACGAAGAACAATATGTTTAGCATTGTTTTGAAGTATTCCCTTTCGGTTTTCGGCCAGATGCATCTTAAATTTTTAATTTCAGGCCAGAATTTTATTTTCGTTGCAGCTGAAAGAGTAAGAGTTCCATTAAACTTGCAATTGACAACTATTAATAAAATGAATAGCCAACTATTGTGGTGAACTTTGCTAGATCGATTTACATGCACCCTTGTAATGGAAGTATGAGATTTAAGAAATTGTGACTACACTTTACCTCAGGTAAACGCAATACTTCAACCAAAATCATGTAATTAAGCTCATAATTGAAGCATGCATTAATCCTGCGTCTTGCTGAAGCGTCCTGTTGTAACAAACAAACTTGAAAGGTACAGCTGTTTTCTGTCACTTCGGTGAACATGCATGCAGAAAAATGCCACAGGTCCAAAAAATGTATCAATCCCATTTGTATGCCTTCAGGACACTTGAAATATATGACACGAGTTGTGTTTCTTCAGAATGCTTTTGCGTCCTTTTAAAGCTCGAGAAGGGGGTCACAATTCACTCTCATTGTAAGCAGAAAACCCCAAACACCACGTTTTGGTTCTGCCAGCCACATCTAGAAACGCAGTGACGTAAAGCGTCTTTATGATGTGAATGCTGTCTTCTGAACTCGAAGAACCGTACCCGAGTCCGCTTAAAGAGGGTGGTCTGGGGTACGGTTCATGTGAACTCTGGTACGGTTCGCAGCTGATGTGAACGCAGTCGTACCAAATCGCGGAAGTGAACCGCTATTAATGACGTATTATTTTATAAAAATGTGTTTGTGTATGTGTTTCACTCACTTTCCTGCAGAGTGTGGCTGACGCGCTTCAAACAGAGAGCTGTATATCTCATTTCTGTTCGCCTTCAGCGCTCTTTAGAGCATTTGCAGTACATTCGTAAGACAGACGCAAGTGCCGTTACGTACCGAAGCTTTGTAAACAAAACGAATGGTTCCAAAACAAGACAAGTGTATGTTCTCCAAAATTGCTTCAGGTGATATAAAAAAAGAGTTTTTTATTTTTCCATAACTGTTTTCCAGTAGTACATTAATGGATTTGATTGTGACAACCCCAAACATATTAGCAATACTCCAGCGCATTGAAAACAAATAGAAATCTGTCCTGGCCACCATGTCCTTAGGGTCCTCGTGAAGTTTCAGCGACAGACAGTCTACTTGTCTGTAAATTGTCTGTTTTGTGCAGAGTTTCCAGTCTCTCTCAGCTCCTCCTGAATCTACAGACGTAAATGACGATCTCTTCAGTTCTCTCGTCTCTTCTGATGCTCTGAGAGAATCTGTTCATCAGCTGAGAGACAGACTGGAGGATTTCTGCAAAGAGCCGCTCCAGAAGATCTCATTTTTCAAAGGAAAGAGACACAATTTGACTGAAGCCACTGGACGACTGCAGGAGATGATCTGCCATGAACATGATAAACATCTGGAAATGTACTGTATTACGGACCAACGGTGCATTTGTGTGCTGTGTGCAAAATATGAGCATGAAAACCACAACACTGTATCAGCTGCAGCACAGAGGACGGAAAAACAGGTATGAACTACAGGAACCGTTAACCCAAAAATAAACACGAGTTACTAGGACTCCAAAAGGCTATGAAAGTTTCAAACTTTAAAAAGGACATAAATGTAGTGCTAAAGAAATCCATATAACCTGATAAACAGTGAAATGTTATTGACGTGCCACAATATTTGATTTGGGCTCTGTCCCAACACCCACACTTGTCCACTTGTCTAACACAGTGCTGTAAAAACGTTTACATATATCACTTCAAACTTTAAAAGAAACTACTTCTACGTTTCTGTTCCGTAGTGCCTGTGAATGATACAATTTAATTGTATTCTGTCTCGTGCGCGTGCTCTCAAGTGTTTGTATTGGGACAGACCCAGGGTTATTATTCAGAATATCTTTATTTGTGATCTGCAAGAGAAAATCGTACAATTGACATGACATGAACGAGAGTACTTAAATAGTTTAATGTGTGCTCCAGCACCAGCTGAAGGAGACACAGAGAAGGTTCCAGCAGAGACTCCAGCAGAGAGAGAAAGATCTTCAGCAGCTGAGAGAGGATGTGGAGTCTCGTAAGGTGAGTCTGGAGAAGAAGAGAAGTTTGTCTCAATCTCAGTTCAGACTCACTGAAGCCTGAATCACTGTGTGTCCTAACAGCGCTCTGCACAGACAGCAGTGGAGGACAGTGAGAGGATCTGTACTGAGCTCATCCGCTCCATTGAGAGCAGCCGCTCTGAGGTCACACAGATGATCAGAGATCAGGAGAAGACGGCAGTGAGTCGAGCTGAAGGACGACTGGAGCGACTGGAGCAGGAGATCAATGATCTGAGGAGGAGAGACGCTGAGCTGGAGCAGCTTTCACACACACAGGATCACATCCAGTTCCTGCAGGTAACAGAGATCTAGAAGAACAGGCTCAGAGTGGACTTGAGCAGATTCTGCTGTGGTTTGGGGTTCGCAGCATGTAGCTTTTTAAGCCGCTTCAATACCTTCTTACGCTTGAGTAAAGTGAAAATTATACCCTTTAGTTATCTCAGACGTACATTAGATCCAAATGCAATATAATAATAGTTTTCTAGACCTTTACATTATTTGGATAATGAGTAAAAAAAAATCTGTTGCATAAAACTGAACGAAGAACAATATGTTTAGCATTGTTTTGAAGTATTCCCTTTCGGTTTTCGGCCAGATGCATCTTAAATTTTTAATTTCAGGCCAGAATTTTATTTTCGTTGCAGCTGAAAGAGTAAGAGTTCCATTAAACTTGCAATTGACAACTATTAATAAAATGAATAGCCAACTATTGTGGTGAACTTTGCTAGATCGATTTACATGCACCCTTGTAATGGAAGTATGAGATTTAAGAAATTGTGACTACACTTTACCTCAGGTAAACGCAATACTTCAACCAAAATCATGTAATTAAGCTCATAATTGAAGCATGCATTAATCCTGCGTCTTGCTGAAGCGTCCTGTTGTAACAAACAAACTTGAAAGGTACAGCTGTTTTCTGTCACTTCGGTGAACATGCATGCAGAAAAATGCCACAGGTCCAAAAAATGTATCAATCCCATTTGTATGCCTTCAGGACACTTGAAATATATGACACGAGTTGTGTTTCTTCAGAATGCTTTTGCGTCCTTTTAAAGCTCGAGAAGGGGGTCACAATTCACTCTCATTGTAAGCAGAAAACCCCAAACACCACGTTTTGGTTCTGCCAGCCACATCTAGAAACGCAGTGACGTAAAGCGTCTTTATGATGTGAATGCTGTCTTCTGAACTCGAAGAACCGTACCCGAGTCCGCTTAAAGAGGGTGGTCTGGGGTACGGTTCATGTGAACTCTGGTACGGTTCGCAGCTGATGTGAACGCAGTCGTACCAAATCGCGGAAGTGAACCGCTATTAATGACGTATTATTTTATAAAAATGTGTTTGTTTCACTGTTTCACTCACTTTCCTGCAGAGCGTGGCTGACGCGCTTCAAACAGAGAGCTGTATATCTCATTTCTGTTGCGCTCTTTATTAGAGCATTTGCAGTACATTCGTAAGACAGACGCAAGTGCCGTTACGTACCGAAGCTTTGTAAACAAAACGAATGGTTCCAAAACAAGACAAGTGTATGTTCTCCAAAATTGCTTCAGGTGATATAAAAAAAGAGTTTTTTATTTTTCCATAACTGTTTTCCAGTAGTACATTAATGGATTTGATTGTGACAACCCCAAACATATTAGCAATACTCCAGCGCATTGAAAACAAATAGAAATCTGTCCTGGCCACCATGTCCTTAGGGTCCTCGTGAAGTTTCAGCGACAGGCAGTCTACTTGTCTGTAAATTGTCTGTTTTCTGTAGAGTTTCCAGTCTCTCTCAGCTCCTCCTGAATCTACAGACGTAAATGACGATCTCTTCAGTTCTCTCGTCTCTTCTGATGCTCTGAGAGAATCTGTTCATCAGCTGAGAGACAGACTGGAGGATTTCTGCAAAGAGGAGCTCAAGAAGATCTCAGACAGAGGTAAAGTCCTGCAGATTCAAACCAGTCCATCATCAGCTCATATCAGGGAGAACATCATATTAGAAATGTGTTAGGAATGGCTCGTGAGAATCACACTGTTCATGTCTGTTGATGTCCACAGAAACACTCACCAACGTTGCTCCCAGAACCAGGAACGACTTCCTACGATGTAAGTCAGTAAGAAAACAAGCAGAAAAACTCACGGAGTGTGTTCGTGTTCTTCCTGTAGAAGCTGAAAGAAGGGTTTTATCATTGATCGTGTAAATGATGATTCGCGCAGGACACCTGCTCATCTGAACACGAAGTGTCCAGCTGCATGAAAAGATCAAACAGATGCATAATTCCCGTGATGTGTTTTCTCTCCATCAGACTCCCGTCGGCTCTCTCTGGATCCGAACACAGTGAATGAATACCTCCGTCTGTCGGAGAGCAACAGCGTGATTACTTACACTTACACAGAACAGCCGTACCCTGATCATCCAGACAGATTTGATGTGTTTCAGGTGTTGTGTAGAGAGAGTGTGTGTGGACGCTGTTACTGGGAGATCGAGTGGAGTGGGAGTGTGTTGATATCAGTGTCCTACAAGAGCCTCAGCACAAAGGGATTGGGTAATGAGAGTGTGTTTGGATATAACGACCAGTCCTGGAGTTTGTCCTGCTCTCCTTCCAGATGCTCATTCATTCACAATAACATAGTGACTAAACTCCCTGCAGTATCCAGCAGTAGAATAGGAGTGTTTGTGGATCTCAGTGCAGGAACTCTGTCCTTCTACAGCGTCTCTGACACAATGAGTCTCATCCACACAGTCCAGACCGCATTCACTCAGACGCTCTATCCTGGGTTTCTTGTTGATTATGGCTCATCAGTGAAACTGTGCTGATGAATCAGAAGAGATTGTAGAGTAATTCTACCCGTAATGCTTTGAGCTGCATGATCAGTAACAGAGTATCTTATTTTCTCTTTAAAAAAAATTAACTGGACATAAATAAACAGTGTCCTACCTCACTGGAACCAACCCAAGTCACACAAAAGCATAAATAACTGTTAAATGGAGGACGCAATACAACTACTCAATTAAAACCAGTGGTGGACGAAGTACACAAATCAAGTACTCGAGTAAAAGTACTGATCCGTATAATAAAATATTACTCCAGTAAAAGTAAAAGTACTCAGTTTAACTCGAGTGAAAGTACAAAAGTACTTGCTTTTTTATGTACTTACGTAAAAAAGTACCCATAGATTAATGTTTATTTACAGTTTTACATAGGCTACTTTATCATTTAATTTTATATTAGCATTTTTTTTATATAATCCTACTGCTCAAAATACCTGGGATTTTCCCAAAATAACCAATAAGGAAAATATAATTCGATTTTCATAATGATTTTTTTCTTCTCAAACCTTGTAAAAACACCCCTGGCCAAATGCCCCCAGAGGGCATAACCTCCCACTTTGATAATTACTGTAGTTACCATGTTCTGAACATCACATCCTTTCTTTAATAAAAATATTTGGAGTTTATTTTTTAAAAATTGCCTCAATTTAGCACTAGCAAGCTCATTAGCTAGACAGGTAGCATCAACTAACATTGACTTATTTTCAGCATGGTTTTAAAAACACATTACAGAGGCACTTCTTTAATGGTATTTTATTGTTTAATCGTATGTAATGTATTAAACTTTCAATTAAACATTTGCAATGGGCTTGTAAAATGTCTTATGCATGTTTTGGCCTGAGACACTTGATGTTGGAATTGAATATTAAAAATTAATAATAAAAAAATTTAAAGTTTTCTGCAAATTCTTCTTCTACATCTCCCCAAGTACCACTGTGGTAAGTTTTGTGTTGCTTTACTGTATCATTTTTTAATAATTGCTTACCAAAATCATGACCAATGGTATTTACCGTGCTATATCGACATACAAACTAACCTGTAGACTCTTACATACGCTTGGCTGGCTTTGGGATAACATGAGGATTGGATATTGACTGCGTGTTTGTGTGTGCGGTTTCTGTCTTCACACGCAACATGAACATGTCATGACTTACAGGTGATTGTTTACAAATATTCATATGTTAATTTGAATAAACATTTATGTAGCCTATTCCAGTATAATATGTTATCTGGTCTTCCAGATACAACTTTCAGTGTTGTGATGTACTTACTATAAACTGTCCATATAACTGTATTTTCCATTATCACTAGTCTTACCTTATTGTCACGATCCAGCAAGATCAGCACGGTCACGAAGGTATTACTGTTAGTAGTGGCTGTGGTCCGAGATTACATGAAGCACCAGAACAAACTGAGACTCAATCCAGAAGAGCTGTGACAACGTCTCCAAGACGCTTCAAGAAACCCACCTGCAAAGCTACCTGAAAAACTATGTAATGCATGCATACTACATTCACTCTAATTGCAATTAAATGCAAAATAAATGTTTGGAAATGTAATAGTTTTAAAATACAAGTCTCAAAATTCTGCACAATATTGTTCATTTGATAATACAATCCATTTGTAATATACATCAGAATCACTAAGAATTATAGTGAACTATGACTTAAGAATACAGTAATTATTTAAAGGGGTCATTAAACGAGAATTCAAAATTTAATGTCACATGTTCGATAAAAACATACTACAAGTTTCAGAACTTTGCTAATCCAAAAACGGCTTTTATTGAAAACAAGCTGCCAATCGGACTCGTTTTCTACTTTCTCATGATTATGATGGCAAAAACTGCATCACTTAAAATATAGCAATGCCTTTGTTTTGTCTCAAGATGGACGCCAGTAATGTTTTTTTCTAAGGCACGTTTATAAAAATGACTTAAATGTCCTAATTGAACTGTGGCCTAATCCTGGTTTAGTCTAAGCCCTGTCTGTGAAACCAGGCCTAAATATCTGAGCATTTTAGTCTGGTTTTAGTCAGTGGAAACTTGCCACATTTTCGTCTTACTGTATAATGGTTAAAATATAAATATATACAAATAAAAAATATAATTTTGCTCAATTTTAACTGCAATGATTGTTGTCATTTGGGAAATGTATTTATTTATGTTATAGAAGTTGCTCTTTCACCAATAAGCAGAAATCAATAGAATATCGACTGGTATGCATGGTTTATTTGACCTCATCTAGTGTTCAGATTTATCACAGGATATCAATTGGAGACTAAAAAAACACAGAAGACTTCAGATATACACTCGGCCTGTCTATGTTATGAAAACTGGCATAACCAAAACCTACTCTCAAATATTATAACAGAGAAATTCCTAATAGTAATACCAAATTGCATTAATGTTTCTCTTCTAAAACAATAGCAACAAAGACTTATTGCCACACAGAGGTTGTGTAAGTAACGTTACAATCAGCGAACAATAGTCGAGATCCCTGACAAACACGAACGCTCGCATAATACAGTCTTGTACAGCAGTCTGAAGTGTTTTGGCTCCACTTTTTTCAACAAGAATAAAAGTGTTTTGGTTAAGTTTTTGTTCTTTTAACTACATTTTAGTCTCATCTTTTTTCGTCAACAATACTGCATGTTCATTTAGTCTCAGTTATCGTATAGCGGTGTTTCACAACCCTGGTCCTAGACACTGCTGTAAGGGAAACAGGTCAATTTAGCTCAAAGGGAATCATTTAAGATTTTAAAGGGAACTCCACCATTAATATGTAATGAAGACCAGAGATTAAGAGGTCTGTAGGAATCTCTGAAAGTCTGTTCTTTGTCATGAGGTGGGGGGGAAAGTCAATCCGAAGAGCTTGTGATCACTATCACATGTTTCCATGTGACAGTCACGCTGTGCATCTCTTTTGACCATTATTCTTGATAACTTACCCCAAATTTGGACAATTCCAAATCTCCTTGGAATTGTCAATAAGTGTTCTTTTGTGTTAATGTTGAAAACTGTTCTGTGAAAGAGTGGTTTAGGCTTGCTTCAGACTGGCTAGGGTCTGATTTATGACATCCTGTTGTCTTGGGCCTCTTGTGGAATTTTTGTGCTCCTAATGTTTCAACCATGTTTTGACCAAATCTTAGATTGTCTGATTCGGTCTGATATCCTACACTGCACTGTACATTTTAGATGTCAACCTAATCAAGCCCACCTGATTTAACTCGTTAGCTTATTAGTACAGACATCTCAGAAACTCAAATGGGTGAGTCGGAAAAGAGAGAAAGAGTTGGAGGTACTAAAGGACTAGGATTGGGAAACACTGACAGAGCATAGAGTAGTAATGCTTTCCAACCCTATTCACACACCAAAGCAGTTTAGATGTTTCCTTTATCTGACCTAACAAGTCTTGCGCTGTGTCCAAAATCAAATACATCCCTACTATACAGCATTAGGGTGACCATACGTCCTCTTTTTCCTGGACACGTCCTGACCTGGATTCATGTATCGTCTAAAATATCCAGGTTTTAGCTTTGTTTTCCTACTTGCTGAAGGTAATGAACGAAAAGTAGTTTGACCAATAATGTGCTGGCATTGTACACAATCGACCAATCATGGCGCGTGAGAAGGTGGGATACAGACAGCATTCAAAGCGATGAAAATATGAGTACATATTAGGTGTGTTCGACTTAAAGGGGACATATGATGCTTTTTTAAAGATCATTATTTTGTGTATTTGGTGAATATGTTGACATGCTTTAATGTTCAAAAAACACATTATTTTTCAAATACTGTACATTATTGTAGGTCCTCTATGCCCCGCCTCTCTCAAACGCTTAGTTTTCTACAAAGTCCCTCCTTCCGACAAGCGCAGTCTGCTCTGATTGGCCAGCTGACCCAGTCTATAAAGATAACGATAAAGATATGGTTCTAAATATCGTTCTCAAAATTAAAGAATAGCATAGTTCACACCACAACTATAATGATAACGATACAGAGGAACGATATCGTTGTGATCACTTTCAAAGCAATTTTTTTCCAGCTGATGAACGATAAAACACTGACAGCCAATCAGAATCCATCCTACTGTAACAAGCTCAAGAATTTAAAGCGGCAGACGCGCGTGCGCTTAGAATAAACAGACGATATCGTTCGCTGGTGTGGACGCTAATATCGTTATCTTTATAGTTATCGTTCACAAATTACTCCATACATAAACAATTGTTAAAAATATTTTATTTATCAGGTTTTTGTCTCTAAAATACTCTTTCACTCATTTTAGAGCTAGTAATGGAGGCTTGAGCCATTGATATGCAGATTGATTAAGTGTATGAATTACCTAAATCTGCAGCTTTCATTAGTGTTTAGCAGGAGCGTCTCTACTAATAGCAAAACCTGCAATACTGGAACTGTCCAATAGTATCCAGCTGCAGACCTGCAGCACCAGCAGTTTCAGAACCGCAGCCACAGAACCGGAAGTGAGGGGCGGAGCTTACATTTTTTTTTAACAGAGTAGCACCACCTTACGGTTTTTAAGGGGTAATTTGCTTTTTTTTTTGGCTAACATGGCTGCTTCAACACTAACTGCGGTTACTGAAACCACGCCTTCTTTCTCTGCGTGCACATTTGGGCGGCATTATGCTAATATTTCCACATAGTGAGGTAGATATGTGGGGGCGTGTTAGAACGAGCCGTTTTAGGGGGGCGTGGCAGAGTCTTAACTTTGATAAAGAATATCTCTTTGGTTTTGAGACTTTAGTCTTTGCAACTTCAGGGATCTTATCTATGCACAATCAGCTTGTAACACTCCAAAGAGAAAGGAAAACTTGAAATCGCATCATATGACCCCTTTAAAGCAGCACTGCACAGACGAATGCTGAATCACATCAAAGTACCACGAGGGCGATTCGAGTACCGCATGCAGAGCCGTCTGCGCTCTCACTTGACAAGTAAACCCAGGTAAAACAATCAAACAAACACCAATGGGCATTTATTGCTTTTTATATAAAGTTAATGTGATGCTGGTCTTTGAAATACTTGCTTTTTGTCTAAAGTTGTAATGCTAGCTTTTGGAACTTCAAAAAATCCACATTTTCAAAACTCTTTGTGAATGTTCATTAGATTTTACATTTTCATTGTAATCTTTCACTTACTGTTTTTTATATAAAGAGATGTAATATATTGGGCAGAACTGA